AACACAGTTTTGTGTTTACTTGATTTTATATTCCGTCACTTTTACTTTCTAATACCCATTTAATTCTGTAAAGGCTCTTCAAACATTCTGAATGAATGCAAATATGTCATCCATTTAATCGTCATTGATTAATTCAGCAAACAGGTATTGGAGGCATAGATTATATACAGTACAACAGTAAGAACTAGTTCCCAAGGACTTTTGCAAGTAATTAACATATTTCAATATCACTATAATTCATAACAATAGTTGCCAAAAAGAGATGTCATAAAAATACAGACCATACAAGTCTGTGATAATTATTCTACTAAGCTGAGCATTTAGCACTTAGAATTATGTTTCGCAAAATGCCTGAATGACAATCAAAACAAACACTGCCTTCATTCATGGTTTAAGGCTTTCTGTTTTCAGAATTTCTGACAACTAATTCTTGGAAGCAAAAGTTCAGAGAGCATTTGTTTAGTGAACACAAATTGGAAAGTAGAAAGCTGGGCACTATTGTATACATTAAAAGAAAGGGCCGGGGATATAGCAGAGTGGCTCAGCATGCGTGAGTCCCTGAGTTCGATTCCTGGTACCCCCCAAAAAATACAGCATCATGCACAGTTCTTTCACTCAAGATATTCCGAATCTAACAGAAGAAAGTGGGGACAAAACATATTTCCTCTGAACTTATCTTTCATTCCTTCCTGCATTCTCACCCTCATCGAAGTTGAACCTTATTAACTGTATTATTACACCAAAGCAACTGTACTACTTCATGGATGCCCCCGAGCAGCAGCAAATAAGACAATCGGTTATGACAATTTTACAGTTTGCTCATGACTGCTGATAAGACAAGCCAGGGTTTTCTAAAGCAACAGACACTGCTGCTATAACCCACACGTGGGTTTAAAATGCTGAGGCAGCATTTTTGATCAACTTGAGCAACGAACAGTCTTTGCTAAAAGGCCTCTGATCTATACAGTAGGGGCCGCTTGAAAGAAAATTTCTACCCAGTAAGTGAAAGCTGGGGAAGCAAATTGCTCAGTGGTTCTGGTGACTGCCTCGTAAGCTCAAGGACCTGAGTTCGATCCCCGGTGCCAAAAAAAAAAAAAAAGAAAAAGAATTTGCTTCTGAGGACTCTTCCGGGCTTACAACAAGTCTTTTCCCTGTGGAACACTAATTCTATGAGTGAGAACAAAACTGGCAGGAGTGAGGAAGACGGCAGCGTACAAGAGAGAAAGGTCAGAAGAGAACATGGAAGAGCAGAAATGATGGACAGAGACAAGGGAGGAGAGAAGAAATGAGAGAGGAAGGCAGGGAGGAAGGAACAAGGAAAAGGCTGAAAATATAATGTAGTAAGCAAGCGCTAGAACGGTATGGTGGCCGTACCAGTTGTACATAGGGTATGGTCAGTACATTCTCTGCCAGTTTCCCAGGAACAAGGACAGTAAAATGCTAAGAAGTGACAGTTGTTTTGTCAGAAGAAATATTAGGAAAAATTGTGGCTAGCATATTTTATGTACCAATCTTATAAGCGCCTTACATGGATCAATGCATGAAGTCCTCATGATAAATCTATAAGATATAGAAGCCTAACAGTTGTCTATTCAGATAAAGAAACCAAGGTCCAGAGAAGTCTAGCAAACTACCCAAAGGCACAAAGCTAACAAGTGACAGAACCTGGATTTGAACAACATAGTCTGGCCCTGGTGTCCCTACTCTTAGGTACTACACTATTCTCCCCTAGCTACCATCGGGTATACAAGAACCTAGAATAATTAGAGGATGACTAAGACTTGAATCTGGCCACTTCTGCTTCCCAAACTGTTTCCCACACTCGGCAGAGGAGACAGATGTTTTAAACAAAACTCACACTTGCTAAACACACGTATCAGTATAAGAATAATTTTCATTAATTGAATAATATGCTTTGTTGTCTTAGTAATTTTAGATATAATTTTGCCTATGGAGTGTGAAACAATTATCCTTAAGCAATACCTTTAACAATCCCAGTTAAAAGCCACTACTAGGAAATTAGTTGGATCTAAAACACCTAAATTTAGGGAGATTGTACTCAAGCATATATTATAATAATTATTCTCAATTAATAAACTGTCACCTAGCCAAGGGCATTCAGTGTGTAACCTTGGTAACAGGAAGAGTTCATTTTTTCATTCATTCTATATATTTATTTAGTTCCCGCTATGTGCCAAGTGTTTGTTTTAGTGATGCAAGAGTATTTAAAACAAAGTTCCTGCTGTCCTGCAGATTGCATTCTAGGGAGGAGGGCTGGAGGTTGTTACTAAACAAATAAACAAATAAGCCTATAGTGTGTCAGATGTTGATAAGTGCTAAGAAAGAGAAATAAAGCAAAGATAGAGCAGGTGCAATTTATGTAGGATACTCAAAGAAAACCCCTCTGATGACTCCTTGTGTGTGTGTGTGTGTGTGTGTGTGTGTGTCTGTGTGCGTGCGCACACACATGCATGCATGTGTGCACGGGCAGGCCCACACATGATGCTGGGGACTAATCCCAGGGATTTTCACACGTTAGAGAAGTGCTGCACCACTGAGGCACATTCACTCAGATTTCTGAGTGAGACTGAAAGAAGTAAGGAAGACGGGCACATAGATGTGTAGGTAAAGAGCATTTCAACCAGAGGGACCAGCGAGTGCAAATGCTCAGGGGGATGAAGGGCTTGAGTGAGGCCAGTGTGTCTGCAGCACAGGAAGCAAGAGTGAGGATGATGAGAGGAATCCAAGTGGTTGGCGAAGGTCAAAGCGTGCAAGACTTCGCATACCAGGCAAAGGGTTTAGATTTTACTCTGAGAGAAATGGGCTGGCACTGGAGGGTCTTGACACTGGGGAGGAGTGAGATGATCTGACTTCGCTTTTTTAGGGGATTGCCCTGACTGCTCCTGTGGTTTGGATCTGGAATATTCCCAACGCCTCATGTGCACAGAGGTGGGGCTTGTGGATGTGACTGGCTTATTAACCGCTGACCTGCCATTAGGAGTTAGGGACTGACCTGGAAGGAATACTTCCCTCCCTGCTGCTTCTTTATCTGCTTCTTGACTCCCAAGACCTGAGCAGCTCTTCCCTCTCCTAATCCCAAACACCTTGCCATTTCTGCCTAGGAGCCAGCCCAGCTATGGACTGAAAACATGAGCCAAAACAAACTTCTCCTCTAAGTTGCAGATGGTGTGTATTTTGTCCCAAACTACAAGAAAGTGACTAAGTCCACTGCTCTGTGAAGAAGGCAGAGGGAAAGGATGGGAACCTGAGACCAGTTAGGAGACTACTGGAAGAGACGAGCTGTCTCACAAGGTGACCGCACTAGTGGTCAGGCCATGGCTGTATGGCTGGCAGTATCTGCCTGATGATTATCTTAACCGTATCAATAAAAAAGTCAGACAGAAGTCAAACTTGGCTGCTGGATTTTGGACTAAACAGCTAGGCAGCGCAGTTTGTATTTAGTAAGATGGTGAAAACTGTGGGAGAACTGGCCTTGCTGATGAGATCATTTGGATGTAAGTTTGAAACGCCGATTAGACATTTATGCACACACATCACATAGACAGTTGGATATATCTGTCTGGGATTCAGAGGCTATTTGAGCGGAGATATAAATTCAGGAGTATCTGCATGCAAATAACATTTAAGCTCATCAGTAGTAAAGGAAGTCACTGGGAGCGACAGAAATAAGAGAGGGAAGATGAGGTCTGAAAACCGAGCCCTTGAACAGACCATTCCTGCAGACTGGGAAGATGAAGAGTAACCAACAAGGAGAAAAGGAGTGGCCGTGAAGGACAAAAAGAAGCCAGAGAGTGGAATCTTGGGGTCAGTGAAGAAAGCAGTAGGATAAGGGAGAGCAGTGAAGGTTGTACGGACTTTCTCCCCTGGTTTCTTCTATTTTTCAGTGAAATCAAAAGCATGGACATCATGACAATTAGGACAGGAAGAAAGAGCTGGAGATTTGAGAAAATAAATGAAATAATCGTTTGGAAAGCAGGTTACAGAACCGACTAGAAGAAGATAATAGCACAGCCCACAGGTATCAGGCGTTCAAGGAAGCTGCCCTTTTGGTAAACACACGACAAGGAGCCAGGTGGGTGGGTGGCTCTGAAATACACAGTGCAATGTCAGATTTGCTCAGTTTCAAGGTTGAACAGTAAATTTGCAGAGGTTGAGGGGAGAAAACATTAGTGAAGTTAAGGCAAACCTTGGGGAAGCATCATAAGTCGCCATGACAGCTAAAAGAGGAGCAATTTTTAGAAAAGACTGAACATCATCATTAAAAGTATAGAGGCCAGCAACTCGGGAAAACTGATATTGATATCATCAGTGATGATACCACAATGATCATGGAAGCAGCCGAAAGGAGCACACCTACCTTGAGAGTTCAGGAGATCTGAATTGTGATGAATAACGCTTCCCTTTAGAATGTCTACCCCAGACTTTCCAGGGTGTAAGGCAGACTTGGCTACATAATTTGCCTGGTCTAAAAATGAAACTGTCAGGTCCGGGGATTTAGCTCAGCCGTTCGGTGGTCTGCCTTGCAAGCGCAAGGACCTGAGTTCATCCCTGGTACCCCCACAAAAAAATAACATTTTAAAAAAATGAAAATATCGGGGGTGTGTGAAAATATAGGACATCTAGCTCAAAAAGTATTCAGATGGTGTTTGTGCTATTGTAACAAAATATCTGGGACTGGGTGACTTTTAAAGAACAGAAATTTATCTCTCAAAGTTGTGGAAGCTGAGAGTCCAAAATCAAGCTTCTGACAGGTTTGGTGTATGATAAGAGCCTGGTCTCCACTTTCAAAATTATGCTTATTGCTGGATCCTCTGGAGAAAACAGACATTGAGTTGTCACATGCCAGAAGAGAAAGGTAGATAAACTCTGAAGCTTCTTTTATAAGCACATTAGTTCATTCATGAGTTATTCACTCACAGTTTAATCACTTCTAAAAGCCCTCACCTCATATACCACTATCATGGGGATTTTGTTTCGGCATGAATTTGGGACACAGCAGATGCCAACAGCGGAGCCCTATGCCGAGCCCAGGGTCCATCTTAGCAGGGAACCCTGTGCTGCTGACGGACCCCAAAACTGGTCCTGCAGATAGGAAAGAAAAGCAGAATGTTACTTCAAACAGCAGGAGGTTTCCCTAGGAAGACAGATCTGGTCATATTTTGAAGCATAACCAAATGAAATTGAAAAGGTCTCTGCTCCATCTGACACGGACTTTCTGTTTGGCTGTCATCTCAAACTCTTTACTGGAAGCCCTAAGTTCCCCAGATCACCTTATGTCACCCTTTCATCTCCAGGGGGATGCACCACTTTTTTGAAAAAAAAAAAAGAAACTTGGACCTAAAACGAGTAAGTTAGATCCTATACCCCATTTCCCCATTTTCATTTTCTGCCAAATGAAGATAATTAGGTTTAAAGGGACTACATTATGGATATAAAGTGCTTAAAGCTCTCCTGACAAGCTATATCCATATTAACTTTGCTCATTATTGTCTTGTTGTTAATCGAATTCTCCCCTATAGCCTTTCTCCCTTCACTCCTACCCCACCTTTCCTAAACTTTTATTCAAGATCTTTTCACCACGTGCAGGAACCCACACATTGGCCTGCTTCACCCTAGCCCTTCATAACCGCTCCTGCCAAAATCCTCTTTCTTGCACAAGGCTTTTGTTGTATCGCTGCTTACTGCTCTACTGTTTCTCTGCTTCCAAATCTCACAGCAGTTTTTTGTTTGTTTGTTTGTTTGCCAAGTTTAAACTTCTCTAAGGCTGGGCATAGTGGTGCATGCCCATAATCCCAGCACTCAGGAGGCTGAGGCAGGAGGATTGCTATGAGTTCGAGACCAGCCTGGACCACATAGTGAGTTCCAGGTCAGTCTCAACTACATTTGAGACCCTGTCTCAAAAAACAAACAAACCAACAAACAAAAAAAAACCACTTCTCTGAATTTTGTGTCTCTTCCTAATCCAATGTGAACCCAGATGGGTTCTACTTATTCAGGTTTCTGAGCTTTGTAGCATCATTGTGTGTGTTCTCATTGAGGAAGATCATGACAATGTAACCCAGAGGCAGAGACTAGGGGTGTTGGAACCGCAAAAATGGAAGCTTTTACTTACCTTGCTAAAGGGTCATCCTTGAAGATAACATGGACTCCAGGACAGGGGAAAAATAGGGGAGATATCTCTGGCCTGGCAGAATACCAGGTGACTTCTGAGGCAGACCATCTAAGGGCACTGCAGGTATGTCTCTTATGATATGAGATCTTTATTTAATGAACACTTCTTACTGTCTCTAGAACAGGGCTTAGCAACAAAGAAATAAAACCCTGGGACCCAGTTCATAAGGAGTCTATCACCTTTTACACTTTGATGCATGTAGTCCTATACATTTTATTTTTATAGCATCTCACAGTAGAAATCAGTAAAGAACAGAAGCCCAGGAACTATGCAGTCAAGGTTCACGATGGCCCTGGCCACAGATAAGAAAGCTGTGAGAAAAACTCCCTGAGAATAAAACAGCTGAGTATCAAATGACTGGGTGCCAGTGAGCTGTGGAAATATACCTGGGAATTTTAAAGGCGAGAGAGAAAGAAAACTAGCTCCCCCTGAGTGTTGTAGGGAGATTGTATGGAGTAGAAAATGCAATGTTAGGCTAAGCCAAGAAGATAAGGCAGAAGGTAAGGGAAGAGATTGACATGATGATAAACAGGGACAATCAGCACTGCAAGCAAGAGAAACCCAAGAGGTAGCTATGGAAAAATCCTTGGAGGAAGACAGAAAATTGCAAGGGTTTTTTTTTTTTTTTTAAGACAAATGTCAGCAAAGATTTGAGATACAGGAATAAGGGGTATATGAGGTCAGTCCCAAAGCTGTGGGAAAGGTAAGAACAGAGCCATGTAAAAAGAAGAGACTAACAAAAACAGTGAAGAATAGACTACAGAGATTGGCTGGTAAGATCTGAATAAAGAAAAGCCTTAGATGAGACAACCCACCCACTACAAAATTCCTCACACATCCAGAGACATTGGTGGTTTTCTGTCGGACCAAGATAATTTGAGTGTGTCTGTCTCTAGGGTTTCACTAGGTTTCTAGTAAATGTTCCAACCTGCATGTCCATGTAAGGGTTACCTGTCCTTAAAAAGAAAAAGTACAGGTGATGTAGTTTTGTGAAGGGAATATTGGTTGTATTCTAATCCTGTGTCTGCTAGATACAAAATGCACACAGTAGGCACTTACTTGGTTCTCATGCCAACCTACTGTGGCAGATCACAACACTCCTACTTTATGGATGATGGAAACTGGGAATCTGAAAGGTCACACAATGGAGCCAGACTTCTAATCCATAACTATCTACCTTCATTCCCCTTCCCTGCACATCTAGGAAGGACCTGAAAACCCATGCAGATGCCTGATGTAGTGGAAACTAAGGATCCAGAGGCAGAAGCCTCTTCCACTACATGTTTTAACAATAGCTTTGGATCAGAAACTGTAGAAATGCCTGATATTCCAATATTCATGAAGCCCCTCAAATTCACAGCATCCTACACCCCTTCCAACACCCCTCTTCCCATACCTCACTATAGGCTGGCTACCAATGATACCACAGTTATTCTTCATGATATCTTTGAAGGATTCTTGTAATCATCCAATATCTCTAATCTTAGATAACCTGGTTCTAAGTATAGTACTATAATTTATCACATTTTATTAATGATGTTTGGCTAATTTATCACATTTAGTTTCAGCCAAATAATTAAAGCCTGGTTTCTTCATCTACATCTCTAATAAAAATACTAGTGCTCTAGCATTTTTCTAAAAGACGTGGAGTTAAGTCAGACAGAACACAATAAAATTTACCTTTGAAATCCAGGCACCTTTCTGAAAGATAAATCAGTAACCTTCATTGTGCTGTCTTGCCTTCCTTTGCAAAGAAGAAATTGTTGCCTCTTTTCAAAGTATTTTCATTCTATCTTCTTAAATGATTAGCAAACACATTTACTAGGCATAGACCCCACGGTCAGAAAGGTTAAATGACTGGTCCCTGAGGGTTCAGTGGCTATTACTGGAGGAGGAAGAACTAGGAATAAAAATACAAGACTCTCAACTTTTGAAATAGAGGATTTCAAATCAAGGATTCTTTTTGGATATATTCACCTAGACATTAAGGATATCGGCAAATAAAATTAGTAATGCCTCCAGGTTCTGAGCTATAGAGTATCTAATTTACCTTGGAGTTTACTATTTGCTCTTTGTAAAGAAAAATAGTTTAGCTGGAATTTTGAGGGGGAGACATGTTCTTTCAGACAAAAATGCTTTAAATGACTAATACCTGCAACACAAAGAAGGCATATAGAACTCACCCAAAGTAGCAGGATGACCTGGTTCTTTTCTGTTTACACAGCTTGAAACACAGATTTCTCACGTGTTACCAAGTGTTACCAGAGTTATGTCACAACCAACCACTCCAGGATATTCTGTGTCTGCTTGATCAGTAACACTGCAGGAGGTTACCAAGAACCATTTCTCCATCACCTGCTCTGGCCAGTGGGCATGGTAAGGAGTTGAAGGCGTGCCGAAGGGAAGGGGGCGGGTGGGTGCTCTGGTGGGCTTGGGTGGTTAAAAGCAGAGCATCACGCTTTTACCCAGGTAGAGGGCAAATGGCCCCAAGGTTTTGGAGAAAAGAAGCACTCTCCGAGCTGAGGGAGTTCCGTGTTTTACAGTAAGAAGGACTTAGAGAAGAGGGTTACAAAGGAGATGGCAGGATTCTGAGGTCCTGAAATCAGCATATTGATCTTTAAGCTTTATTACAATTTTCTACTGGAATATATAAAAATGATTCCAGCATTATTTCCCTGAAGGAAACGGAAGAGAAATTAAAGCCAGCTTTCCATAGAAAAACATTTATTGGACATAAAGTATTTGTGCTTGGTACTTGGAATACAAAGATATGGGTAACTTTGAATGAATTTATAATAGGGTTTAAAAATCAGAACTTCTTGTCAATTTGGGGTAAAATGTTTGCTCCACAAATTATGTTCTCAGGTACATTTTTTTCTAGGCATTCAAAGAATTCTGCAGATTTCCATTTTATATTATTTTGTGGGAAAGCTGGAATGTGCTAACATAAAAGAGTCAGATAAACACGGAAACACACACACACACACCCCACAATCTCGCTTAATAAGACAGATTTAATTGCATTATAGGAGAGACACAGAATGCCATTCGCTCTGAAGAATTGGGTTGCCTGGATACGCCATACCTAGGGCACCAGGGCTGCATCTCTTGGCCCCACGACCTCAGCATGTGCCTCCTTCACTTGCCCTGCCAGGCCATTCACAGAAGTTTCTCCCTGGGTGGCTCCTTTGTCACTCCCCCCACTTCCCAGACCCCAGTTTATCATTGTTCACCCCCACTGTGTGGTACCCTCCCTACCCCATCTGAATGAACCATCTAAAATGTGTCCAAATCTTTTAGCTCCACCAAAAGTGGTGATGGCAACACAATGGTTAGGCCATGTATGCTGTCGAGATGTGAGTATGCCTCAGAGCAGAAATGTCAGATACTAGTGCAAACATTACAGGAACTGAAAGGAAAGGCAGGTATTTTGATGTAATTATCATCATCTTTCCTAAGTATATTTCCATATTTTTCTGATTACTCAGAATTCTAATATAGATGATGAAAAGATTTAAGAACATGTTTGGAACATGTCAAAACAATAAGCTAAGAACATAGGTATTTGTACAGAAACACTAAGGAAAAAGGAAACATGGTTGTCTATCAGAAAAGACAAAATTAGGAAAATAATGACAATCATACAAATATGAACATAATACTGACATGCTGCATGGAGATAATTATAGAGTAGTAAGACCCAATGTGAACAAACGTTCAAAAGATAATGATATCTTTTTTTTCTCTTTAAATTTTATAAGTTACTACTATTCAATGCATTTTTTTCCCCTCATGGCAAATACCAAAATCTTTTCAAGTTTCACCATTCAAATGCAATGCACTAGACCACATACAACAACAAACAGAGAAAATCCAGGTCATTTCCAAATAAACTGGAAGTAATTTATTTAGAAGACAGAACTTTAAAAATCCTTGAAAGTTCGGAATTTTACGTTGAAATAGTTGATAATAGAATCAATTTTTCCTAGAATATTTAGCAAGTTTTAATGATTATATTTTAGGGCAAAAACCAAGAAAATATTTTGAAGATGTCTGGGATGGGAGAGATGAACACATGAAAATGTAATTTATTATATACATTCTTTTGTATCAAAATTAGTTTTGCAAGGTAATTATTAATATAGGGCATTTACATAATATGCAAATAAGTTTTAAAATAGGGTAAATCGTTTGTTATTAAGCCAGAAATGCTTTTATTAAAATAATAGAGAATTTTATTGATGAAAATTATACTTTTATATAGACCTCCAAGTAACATAATTTTACAAGTTGTAACAAAACTTAATTTCTGAATTTCTGAGAGAGGGTATTTTATAAATTTGAATAGCCAATATAAATCAGAGATGATTTAGAATTAGCTAAGCATTATTGGAGTATTACTTTAAATAAATTACCCATTTCTTTATAAAAATTATAGACCAGAACTTTAAACTTCATTTTAAGGGAAAACAAAAACTTAGAGATATTTGATATAAAAATGTCCATATGTGAAATACAGCCCTTATGTGACACTAAGAAAGCCTTTAGTGTAAACTGTAGTTCATTTTTAGAGATAAATCCCTGAATTCTAGTTTTTAAAAACCTGTATGATTTTGATTTACAATTGTAGGCTATCTTACATACAGTATGAAAATACTGAGTCCAGTATTTTCTTCAATGCTGTATTTTTATTCATTGTATACTCCTAAACAAAGAAGTTGGAATTTGGATCACAGTTTATAATCAACTTTGCACAAAATTGTTATGATAACTTGTTACATAGAAAATCATCCATAAACAAAAACAATTTTCGATTTACTAATTTTATATACTTCACTGCAAATTTTTCTTGGATCTGAACTTTTAACCAACTGGGATATAATGTGAACCATAACCAAGGAGAGTAAACAATGATAAATAAACATAAAACGTAAGTAGTATCAGAAGAACAAGACAGAGAGGTAGCACCTGACACTAAAATATATCAATAAATAATGTTTCATTGTTTTTTTTTACCTTGCCCAAATCATCTAGTAACCTAAACCATGGAATTTCTAATCTTCAGTGAATGCTGTCAACCTCAGTAATTAGTAATACTACCCACTATTTTTGTTAATCTTAAAGATATTTACAGCTTACTATTTTTTAAACAAAACATTTACTTAAATGCTTGTCATGATGTGATGGCTCTTTTAACTATTTGTTGGTTATTATTTGTAGATTTTATAAGCATGTTAATTACTAACTAGTGAATCTCTTTAAAAACATCATTGATAAGTATGAACAATTATCAATATAGAGGATTTTCATTAGTGTCTCCAACTTAAAATCCAATTAGTAATTTAGTGACAATACTTTATATAAATATAAAATCTAATAATTTGCTCTTTAAGTGCATGAGATATAGATAAATATAAATTCAAATTTTGTTCAGAAACTGGATTTTACTTTAGGAAATATACCCTGAATCACAAAATTTATTTTAGTAATTAACTTATGAAAACAAAGTTATTCTATTTTTTTAGAAAAAATTAATACAATGCATTGCAAAATGTTTGCCTGTGGAAATGCTTCAATTTTTATTTCCCTGACCTTACTTCACATTATAAGTCAGAATTAATTTTATAAAGGCAAAAATTTGATTTACTATGAAATTAGTAACATGGTTTAATTCAAAAGAAGCAAAGATTTATAAAGGTAATATTTCCAGAATTTTGCTAGGTTTTAAATTCCCTATAAAGCATTGAAAAAAATTTTTCTCTTCTTGGTTTTGCTTTAAAAACCAAGGCTTGTTTTTTTTTTTTTTTTTTAAGGGTTTCAAGTATTCTACAGATACAAATTTTGGAGAACATTGAATTCTTTCCAAAAAGCTATTTTAAGTTTTCTTTTACTGCACTGCAGAAAGTCTTAAAGACTTTTCCTCCCTCCAAAATCTCGTTTTCACCCGAAATAATTGTGTTCAGGTTTTCAGCAGGTAAAGTATACATATTTACAAGGTTTCAAATTTCAGAATTCCTGTAATGTATTGAAACTAAGCACACCTCTTTGTGTGTGCCCGTCTATTATCTTGGAGTTGTTATTTACATTAAAGTTTAGTCTTTTTAGCACCTTAAAAGTGCTTTGGTGAACCCTCAACAGTTGCTAACCACTTAATAATTGTGACCCCATCAGCCCCTTCGAGTAGATCGTTAACCACAAGAGTGCCTGACGTTTTCCAAACCATATCCTCTGTCCAAAAGGAAAGATAGGGCTTTGTGAGGCCGAAAGGAAGCAAAGGAAAACAAAACACATGTAGCTTATGCTCAAAAAAATGAAAAATGCCTGGACAGAATATTATTTTCTTTTCTGCAAGGCCCCCTGCCAAACGCCCCCCCCCCCTGCTTAATAAAGAAGTTATTATTTTTTGGTCTGACTTTTCAATCTCTTGAAAAGTGTGGGTATTAACCAGCACCACCGGCCCCTCATCATTAGTTTGTTGTTTTGTGTTTTTCCTGTACGTCCGTATCACAGGCGGCTGATACCCTGCCTCACCCTGTCAAAACCCCAGCTCTGGGCGACCCTCAGCATGGAGACTCCGCCGAATCCCGACGACACATCCCACTCTGCCTGTCCCGCGGCTTTTAATCGCTGGATCCTCCACTCCAGCACCAGCGCAAACCGGAACTTTACACCGAGCACCCCCACCCCGTGCCCTGCTCGCCCCTCGTTCCGAGAGGACGGCTGGGAAGCCGGGAGGCTCGGCCGCCTCCCCTCCGGAAGGCTTCAATTTGCACACTTGCTGGC